TTATATGACTATTTGCTTAATAAAAATAACTGGTCTTATATTTACCATTATGTTCTTTTCAGTTCCTACAAATGACCAACTTTAATTGTAAGACAAATATTTTTCTAAACATGTATAATTCTGTTACGTGGGGGGCTGGGTCATGCCTCAATATTGGAACATATGGATTAAGAAGCACTCTAGGTTCAGTTGTTAGCAGCTAGACAACACTTCTGTGTTCCCTAAATTGAAAAATTATATACATACACAAGAATAATTTTTTAAACAAATGAATCCCATTAAAAGCAACTTGAAAAACAAATTTTTACTGACCTGGTGGCCGCTATAATTTTTGATGTTGTAATATTTGCTCTAGAATTCCATTATATGATAGGATGGCAATGATGTTGTAATATTTGCTCTAGAATTCCATTATATGATAGGATGGCAAACTGTCTTTTTTTGTTTACATTAAAACTTGCCATGATTCCCCCTTCTCCCCCCGAAATACTTGCTTGGTAAGGAGTGGAGTGTAAATGAAGGCTGAAGAGAGGGCTTAGCAGTTGAAAGTGCTCACTGCTCTACAGTGGACCTGAGTTTGTTTCCCAGCACCCACATGCAGCAGCTTGCCTCTGCACACATACATGTGAATAAATACAAACCTTTCAAGAAGGAACAAGTGTAAGCAAGGACATAAAAGTTCATTTTCCTCTTGCACTCTATCATAGGGTTATTGATGAAGACAAAAGTAAAAAGAAGGGGCCAGAGGAAAAACAACCTAAAAAGCAGCTTAAAAAGGAGGAAGAAGGCCAGAAGGAAGAGGATAAGCCAAGAAAAGAACCAGATAAGAAAGAAGGGAAGAAAGAAGTTGAATCCAAACGGAAAAATTTAACTAAACCAGGGGTTACATCAACCTCTGATTCAGAAGATGATGATGATCAGGAAGGTGACAAGGTAAAAAAAAATTTTTTACATCCACAATTTTTTCCCCATCGGCGTATATGGTATATTTCTGTATTTGTAAGTCAGCCCACTGGTGACATTAGTGAACTTTCTTGCTCTCCCTTTTTTCCCCATTTGTTTTTGTGTGTGGTGTTCATGTGCACATGTATGTAGAGGCCTAAGGTTGATGTGGGTAATCTTTCTTAGTTGCTCTTGACTTAAAGAAGCATCTCTAAAGCAAGCCCAGAGCGCTTCATGTGGCTAATATTGGTAGTCAATTTGATCTGAGAATCACTTGTCTCTGTCTACCATGGCTGTAATTAAAAGAGGGCCACTATAAGTATCTGGAATTTTATAGATTTTTGGGAGATAGGCTTTTGTCTTCTTACTTGCATATAAGGAAATTTAACTGCTGAACAGTCTCCTCCCTCCTCATGCTAATTTTTTTAAAATTTATTTTTTGTATATGAGTGCTTTGCCTGCCTGCATGTCTATGTTTAGGTAGCTCCCTTGGAACTGGAGATGTGGGTGTTGGGAGCTGAGCTTGTGTCCTCTGTAAGAGCAACAAGTGCTCTAATTTTTTTTTAGATTTTTTTTTTTTTTAATTTTTATGTATGTGAATGCTCTGTTTTCACAGCATACCAGAAGAGGGCAGTAGATCTCATTGTAGATGTTGTGAGTCATCATGTGGTTGCTGGGAATTGAACTCTTGACCTCTGGAAGAACAGACAGTGCTCTTAACCGCTGAGCCATCTCTCCAGCCCCCGCTAGTCAAGCTTTTTAAGCTGACCTGTGTTTCTGTTCCCCATCCCTGCCACCCCAAGCACAGGCGTTACTGATATGTGCAGTCATGCTCAGGGGCACTCTTAGACAAAAAGCATTTAATCTTCTGAGCCATTTCCCCAAATACATTGTAAGTTCATTCTTAGATCGGTTTAGGTAGTTCTTAAGTAATGGTAAGCATTTAATATTTGTTGAAGTTTACATGGGTTTCTTTGTCCTTCCTAATGAAATTCCAATAGTTAGTGTGCTCAGGAAAGATACTAGAGGTAGATTTATACATGGAATTTTAGTCTTTTCCTATTGTAATTCTGTTAGTGAAGTGTCATTTTATTTTGATGCCATTAAATCTTCAGCTGTATCTTTTTGTGAAAAAGGCAAATTTTGTTTGATAGCATTGAGATCTGTATGTGGGCTTTTGTTTCTGATTTGTCTCACTATATTATTAGAAACCAGGTTTTTTTTTTGGGGGGGGGGTGGCTTACAGGGTCCAACTATTCAACCTTGACTGTGTGTAACTTGCTTTGTAGCCCAGGCTGGCCTTGAACTCAAAGGGATCTTCTTTCTTCTACCTCCCAAGTGCTGAGACTATGAAGCTGTGTGCTACTATAGCCTGCTCAAAGCCAAAATTTTAAATTGGATAGCTTCTTAGTGCTCAAGTTAAAACTATGTGGAGACAAATAGCATGGAATAATCTATTTTAGTCATAGAGTCAGTTGTAGAGGATTATAGTGGACTCGCATCCACATAAGAGCCAAGCTGTGTGTTGGTTAAGCTCACACTTGTTTTCCTACCATGATTATAGTTATAGTCAAGAAAGTTAACTAAATCCATCCTAATTCTCAATCAGAAGAGAAAGGGTGGAAGAAACTTCCAGACTGCTCACAGGAGGAACATGCTCAAAGGCCAACATGAGAAAGAAGCTGCAGATCGAAAACGCAAGCAAGAGGAACAAATGGAAACCGAGCAGTAAGTATTCTTTTTAGTTCTAAATCCTAGCATAGCTTTTTTTTTTTTAAAGAGTAGTATGAAAGTTTTTAAGTAGACTCATTATCCACACTTCATGAAGCCTTTGAAGTAACCTCTCATATTAGAAAAATCTTCCATATGTGTTTTTTTTTCCCAGAGGATGAAATTCACTGAGGCAGTTCTCCTGTTCACTGTTTTGTAATTAAAGTGAAAGTGCAGTTAGGTTTTGCTAGTGCTTTACAGAGTACTCATCTTCTATTATCTCTATAACCTGTTAAACCAAGAATTATGAAAATATATTGATGGAGAAAGAATGCAGTAAATATTCATATTTGTCACACCACCAGCAGGCCTGTATAGAAAACAGTGAAAATAACAAGCACAGCTGGAAACCTGCAAGCCGATAAAAGTAAACCCAAAGGCTGACAGGGCTTGCATTAGATAAGTACAATATGAATCAAGTTTGAATTACATTTTGACACTTGGAAACAATATACACTTAGCAAGAGGACTTTCTTCCTCCTTTATTGTATACAATTATTTTTTATCAGAGCAAGGAATAGCCATTGCAATTATTTGACTTAATGTCTTGATTACACATTTCCCTGTGTCAGTTCCCTACTTTATAAAGTGTCATACTCTTTAGTAAATTTTGTGGGCTTTTTATTAGTAGTGAGGAGATAACTTTGAAAACATTGTAGGCTTCTTATACAGTGGCAAATAATAAAAACATAGTTACTCTTGAACTTCTCTGCAAGCTAAACAGCTTTATAGATACATTGTCTCTGCTTTGTAGCTATTTGGAGGATACAGAGCAGTTTAGCTACTTGAGGGAGTTTAAAAGTGATTAAAGTACCAGACTATGACCACATCTGTAAATGCTACTATTCCTGTCCTTTCTCTCCACTAAATACTGTGACTGTTGTTTCTTTTAACTTTGTGCTCCCTGAATTAAGGCATAAAGTAGTCGTTGCTCAGTAAATCTAGCCCAGTCCTTCTTCAGAATCTCAAGATATCTTTTTGTGTTTCAGTTTCTTTTGAATGTCCTCCAATGTAACTTTCTCAAATTCTAATATTTGTGTTTTCTTTCCTTCTCCTGTTATTACAAAACTTTGTACTTGGACAGTTTTGCTCTGTAAAGCATTTCAGATGCAACTTGTATGAAATGCATTATGCAAAATAAAGTTTATTGTATTGTATTCCCAGCCAAACAACATGTAATCTACAGTAATAAAAAATATATCTCATTTTGGGCTCAAAGCATTAATCCAGTAACTGAAAAGAGAATACAAGTGGAGCATACAAGCGATGAAGATCTTGAGACAAACTCATTGGACTGAATTTTTCCCTCCCCCCCTTGATGGAAGAAATGTTCCAGATTCTAAATTGAGGACTTCACTATTAATGGCATTATTAACTGTGTGTTATGATTGTTAACAAAATATCCTGTAAGGTACACACTACATATTAAGGTTGGCCATCATTCCTGTTTTTTGTTTTTTGTTTTTTTTTTTAAACCAAGCTTGAAATGAAGCTTTGTGTTTGAAAGTTATAACAAACTTAGATGAAGATGGTGGTTGTACATTTCATTTAGAAAATATGAAAACTCATTTTGTTTTGAAGCTAGGTGTTAAACTGGAATAGCTATTACGTTCTTGAAAAATGGGGCAGGTGTGCCCTTCCTTTGACATTCTTTTGTTGTTAAATTCTTTAGAGTCTTGCTTTTTTTTTTTCTTTTTAATCCTAAGAGATTAAACAGTAGACTTGTTAAGTAAAAAAATGAAATTGTAACCAAAATTTTAAAATAAAGTTTTTTTTTTAAAAAAAAAACTGATTTTTAGGTATTTTTTGTTCTTGTCTATTTTAATTGGTTCATAATAGGGCCTGAATGCCAAGCCAAGGTACTAATTTGTAATTCAAAAGGTTATTTTTGTTAATCTTAGTAAAATGGTATTTTTTAAATTTATGAAATGGTACATATTGCTTGCTAACAATGGCCTCCTCTCCATCTTAAAAAATGCACAGTATCAGTTTAAAGCAAGTCTGTTTACTTTTGAAGATAAATATCTAAGTCCCTTGAATCGCTTTTCCTTCGGAGATGTGGGGAACAACTTAACTGGTCTAATTTAATATGCTTTAAAAAACAATTGCAGGAAAAGAAGTTGATATGAAATTCTGTAAGCATTTATAGATGTTCTCTACCCATTGTGGATTGTCTGTCCAGTGATCCTGAAATTGGATTTATAATTTTTAGCATTCACTTTACTGTGACTGCTTCAAAGTCATGCTGTGATGTCACTGAAAGACCAATTTAGCATGTTTTAAGTTTTGCCAGTATTTGTTAATTATGTTAATGCTGTAGATTTGCATAGTTCTAGAAACGAGTCAGTGTCCTGTTTTTATTATTTTTAAGGAACATTATTTTAAACCTTTACATAGGGGAATATGGGCAGATTCACAAAGTTTCAGTGTTTTGAAATATTTGTGTTAACATTTGATAGGCAGAATAAAGATGAAGGAAAGAAGCCAGAAGTTAAGAAAGTGGAGAAGAAGCGAGGTCAGTTATTTCATTTTCTAAGACATACAAAATTACACATAAAAAGTTAATGTAAGCTGGCTATCATGGCACATGCCTGTAATACTACCATTTATGGAAGCACAGCCTGGAGAACAAGTTTCAAGCCAACCAGGGATACAAAGTGAGACCCTGACTGAAAAAAACAGTAAATAGAAACAAAAATTTTAAAAAGTAACAATTTAAAAATGATTTTTGGAATCCCATGTCATGTTCTTATATGTTACAAACATACCTTTTTAAGTCTAGTGGATTCTATTCTATATTAAATTGCATTTTAAGCAATTAAGTGAACAGGCTAATGTCTTTATATTTTAATGTTTATTTGATGTATGTTGTGAAGCCCTGCTAAGAGCTGGAGGTTCAATTTTGATAAGTACTTTCCAGTTAAGTGGGTACAGTAGATAAACTAGGAATTTAAGAGCTGATGTGTAGTTCATCATCCGAGTCAGAACAAATGCAGCATGGACGTAATTTTGTGCTTTTATGCTGCCTGTTTCTTCAAACCTTACATTAAAATTAGTAGGTAACTTCTTACACCATTCATCTATATGGGTTTCTTAAAGATTACAAAGAAAAACTTTGTAACCACCGTTTCTTTTATGTGTTTAGACTGTACAGAGATATGGTGTGGGGAAAAGCTATTTACTATGTTTCACATATTTCAATTTATAGAAACATCAATGGATTCTCGACTTCAAAGGATACATGCTGAAATTAAAAATTCACTCAAAATTGATAATCTAGTAAGTGTTTAACCTCATTTAAAATGCACTGCTTTAATAGCTTTATATATTGTCTCACATATAAGACTTAAGTGTAAAAGTTTAAGATAAAAGGAACAATACCTGGCAATTTGTTACCACCTTAAGAGCTTTTAAAATCTTCACAAGTAACTTATATAGACGCTTTGGTAATTAACAGTTATGAAATTGCTGTTTTGTCATGAAGGATGTGAACAGATGCATTGAGGCACTGGATGAACTTGCTTCACTTCAGGTAACAATGCAACAAGCTCAGAAACACACAGAGATGATCACAACCCTGAAGAAAGTAAGTGGTTTCAAGACCTATAAATCTAACATCTTTTCTCAGTTCTTCAGTTTTAAAGTGTAAGTAAATCAATTAGGGAAAATAATTATGACTATTGTTTTCTTAGATTCGGCGGTTCAAAGTTAGTCAAGTTATCATGGAAAAGTCTACAATGTTATATAACAAGTTTAAGAATATGTTTTTGGTTGGTGAAGGAGATTCTGTCATCACCCAAGTGCTGAACAAATCTCTTGCTGAGCAAAGACAGCATGAGGAAGCAAATAAAACCAAAGATCAGGGGAAGAAAGGGCCAAATAAAAAGTTAGAAAAGGAACAAGCAGGTATGTGGTAATAACTTTAAGCTGTCCCCTGACCCTTTCTAAACTGTTTGCCAGGACTTCTTTTGTAAATGGTTTTGTTACATATGTTAGAAATGTTGATACTGGGAAGAACCTGTATCAGTAATGAGGCTATGGTATATTCATTGACCTTTGAAACCGCTGAAGTGTTAATGACAAGGGTGGCATTAACATAATCGTTCTACACTACGTGTTAAAGATGTTATGCTGGACACTTAGAATTAATTATAGTTCAATTTTGGGGAATAGTTTTAAAAGCTTTCAAAATGTTTTCTAGAGAAACAACCCATTCCCCATTCCTCATTTACTTTTGCCAGAAAATAAAGTGTACAGCAAGCATCTGACCATAAATGCTGCATCCTAGGCGGAGCCAAAGATGCTGCTTGTTTCTTTCTGATCGTAGCCAACAGGCATTTTGTCAGTGTTTCCATTTTTGCTTAGTTACCCCGAGCATGTTATGCACTATGTTAAATAGTATGATATGACTTTTAATCATTAATTGGTTACGGGCACATAAAAGTCTGTATTCTATTATGCTGTAAGAAAACAACTGGAGCCTGTCATGGTGGCACACACCTTTAATCCCAGCCTTTAACGGAGGCAGAGGCAGGTGGATCTCTGAGTTTGAGGCCAGCCTGCTCTACAGTTTCATGACAGCCAAGGCTGTTACTCAGAGAAACCCTGTCTCGAAACAAAACAAAATAACAGTTGGTTATCAGTAGAAATTTTTTAATAGTTTTTCCTTTTTTTAAAGATTTATTTATTTGTTTATTAATAGTATTCTTCCTGCATGTATGCCTCTACACCAGAAGAGGGCACCAGATCTCATTATAGATGGTTGTGAGCCACCATGTGGTTGCTGGGAACTGAACTCAGGACCTCTGGAAGAGCACACAGTACTCTTAACCTTTGAGCCATCTCTCCAGCCCCAGTAGAAAGTTTTTAAAAGCTGACTATCAGAATGTTTTCTGGAGAGCCAACAATTTGACAGGAAAAGGTCCAGTGGTGTCAGTTGGAGATTTTGAGCACTTTATGCTGTAAAATACTATTAATACAAAATTTGGTTCTCCTAAAACAAATGAAACCAAACTACATGCTAGTGCACTACAGAGTTTTATCACTTACAATCTTCCTACATGTAATGAGAGTAGTAATTCCTGTGCCCATTAAAATTACAAACAAAAAAACAACCTTGTATCTTGTTGTGCTACTCTAGACTTTGAATAGTACAAGTTAAGAGTACATCTTTATATATTCCGTTTTTTTGTTTTTGCAATGACATTTAAACCTAATCTTAAAAATTTTCAGAAGGCTGAAGTGTGAGAAACCTGAAGGACATGCTTTGACCTTGAACTTTAAAGATAATTTAGTGTATTATTTTGTATGTGCTAACAGTTTTTCCATTCTAAAGGTTCAAAGACCCTAAATGGAGGATCTGATGCTCAAGAGAGCAATCATCCACAACATAATGGTGACAGTACCGAAGAAAGCAAAGACAGTCATGAGGCCAGCAGTAAGAAAAAGTAAGGCCATGTTGCAGTGGGCCCTTTGTTTAAAATCAAAGAGTCGGGCTTGAGAGATGACGCAGATGTTAAAAGCACTGGCTGCTCTTCAGAGGACTTGGGTTTGATTTCCAGTACCCATATAGCTGCTCACAACTATCTGTAATGTACATTAATGAAGAACACTCATACCTTGTAGGAAAATTTTAAAGTTTCTTGTTAGGTCTAGTTTTAAACTCTGTAGATCCTGTCTCTGTTTTCCCAATTACCAGGACCACAGAGGTGTACTGTTGTGCTTGGCTTACATATTTTTTTCTCTTATTCACAATTTTAGCACAATAACTGCCCCAATGTTAGCATATGAGAATATCATAGTGTTCTGTATTTCTTGCCAACACTCAACCACAGTAGGGAATCACTTTATCACTGAGTTCTGCATCCAATGATAGTTCACCCTCTTTCCTTCCACACTCCTTTTAGAGGTCTCCCTGTGTACTTTGTTTCCTTGGCTGTCACAGAAGTAGCAACCTAGAACTAGGCTAGCCTTGAACCCACAGAGATGTTTGCCTCTAGGATGCTGGAATTGAAGGTGCGTGCTTTTACATCAGCTTTATTAATTTTCTAAAAACAAGCTGTGAATCAAAAAGGCAGGATGAAGAACTGGAGCTGTTAGCGGTCATTTTCTTGGCTCAGGCTCTGGGTTCAATCCCTAGCACCTGAAGATAGAAGGCTACAGAGTGAGAAGACCCTGTCTCATCCAGCACACCCTAAACAGGTTTATTGAGAAAAGGTCTCCCTCTCTTGCCCAGGTTGGTCTTGTAGCAGTCCTCCAGCCACAGTCCGCTTGGGATTACAGATCATACAATTAAATCAGCCCTATATTTTACTTAGGAAAATGAAAGAAAACAATTTTTCATTTTCTTGAATTGTGTGGATTATATTGAATAAAATTCGTCTTCAAGTTTGTGACAGACTTGGGTGCTTGCTTGGGTTATCTCACCAGATCTGCATATACATTTACAGTGTCTTTATAACAACCATGACTAAAGTGTTCTGTGGGTTTCTTTTTGAGGCAGTATTTCTCTATAGCCTTGGCTGGCCTAGAACTCACAGCAATCTACTGGCCTCTGCCTAAGTGTTGGGATTAAAGGTGTGCACCACCACACCCAGCTGTGGTTTTGCATATATACGTATACACACACACACACACACACACACACACACACACACACACATATACATACATGTAGATAAATATGTGACACAGATTTAATACCCTTCTTGCTCAAGAGAAAACCACCAAGCGTAGTTGTAACACCTTTCTTTTCTCTGTTTTAGGCCACCTGGAGAAGAGAGAGAGGCTGAACTATCTCTGAAGACATCTACAGTAGATAACTAGGTTGGCAGACTTGGGATGTAAAGAGTGCGTGAGAAGTCTGTTGTGAATGGCTTCATTTGAAATACTTAGGCTGCTGAAAGTTTTCAAGTTTTATAAGCATAAGTTTTGATGTTTAAGTAGTTTTGGGGAAGAAAATCCCTTTATATTTGTGTAAAAGTAAAAAATATTGCTAATTTTCCATGTGCAGTATTAATAGCTCCATCATCCACTTTAAGAGTAAGGGAAACCTACTTAGAAAGGTTAACCTGCTTTATAGACATGACTAGTTTATTTTTGGTTAGTGTGTATGCTAATGTGTAATTGGTACTGTAGGGCGGTTACATTTGTATAGATTTTTTTTCCTCTTTTCCCAAATACTGTGGGTTTTGTGTATAGTTTTTACAAATCTTGGATTTACCAGACTGTCTTTTCACTGTTTGTGGGTTTTTTAGAAGTTGAGCATTTTTATGGCTGATAAAATGGATGTTATAAGCACCCTTTCCGGAAGTTAACGTTAACCTCAGTCCATTGTGCTACATCAGCTTGCCTCTTTGTAATAATGTGCAGTCTGTATGACAGCTAGATGTCCAACAGATCTAGAAGGTACAAATTTGTGAACTTTGAAACTGATTTAGTTTTAGGACTGGGGCTTCAGTGGCATCAGAACTAAAGAGAACGCTGGGTATATATAGGAAGTCCATCTACAAGTCTTTACAGCTAATAGTCACAAAACCTGAAACTAGTCGTTTTTAATCTTGCACTCATTAAGGTCACACTCATTAAGCTGTGCATAGCTTTTAAATTGGAATCCATGACTAGTAAATATAAAGAAGGAAACTAACCTAATTGAAAACTAAGGCCATATTAGAATGGAATTTGTGTTTAGTTTCTGTATCGTACATATCACAGGATTACAAAAATAAGGTCGAAACATCAGTTACCCCACGGTAGTAACTAGATTAGTGTACACACACACACACACACACACAAGCGTGGACTATGTCTATTAAATGAAGGCATGAGATTTCAAAGATACTCTGAGTGATCAGATTAGTTGTTTTCACTAGGTAGAAAAGTTCAGCCTTATGCTTTGAAACATAATGGGAAAGTGACTTAATACCAGAGTTTGTGTACAATGTGATTAAATATGTTCTTGACTTTAGATAATTATTTTCAGTCATGTAAATTTTTTAATTGCTTCAATAATTGGACTCTTGCTTTTGAGAGCTCTTACAATTGAACTCCTGTTTTGAGTGAACGCTGTACATTGCATATATACCAGTCTTCTGTTTTGTCCTTAGTACATTTTTAACTTGGACAAAATTACTCTAGTTAAGCCATAAGTGTCAATGTGTAAACCTGTTTTAATTAAAATTTTTTTTCTACCAGACTCTATTAGTAAGTTATTATTGCTGCTATTTGAATTACTTAAAGAAATCCTGGATTTCCTGCTAGGGAAGTAGTGTCCTTAGCTGTTACTGAGATCCTGTTAGGGGCTACAGTAGTAGCTCCTATGAACTATCACTTGCCTTGTGTTGGCTTCCTTTCTCTTCCTGACGGCAGAACATTAGCAGCACTTACCTAATTTATGTACCTACTTGGGCAGACTGCTTTGACTGCATAAGTTCTTTTGATGCATAGCTGCCTTCTTTTGGTTAATTCACAGACAAGCTATCACTCTCAAAACTGTTAACAAAACTTATTTAGAATTTATTTGGTTAAAACAAGAGCTGAAACAAGATATCTAGTCAATGAGCTACCCACCTCCCCCACTGTGTGTAGTATGCATGTATGGATACTTATTTTGATTGTTAGTTTTCTCAACTGCTTGGATCAATTTTAGATTTCCCACCTTAATGAGAGAATCTTCTTGCAAGTCTGTATGTATAAACAATTTGACCAGAGCTCATCAGACCCCATCTGCTATTCTAGCTGGGAATTCAATAGTGTGATAAATTTTACCAAGACAGTGATGTGGTATACTAAAAATGTTCCTATTTGTATCCACTTACCTGTTTAAAGATGGTAGATGAAGATGAAGTCTGCCCTCTAATCTTGTATGTAGAGGAAGTTTCATTCCATTCGTTAGAGAATAGACCATTTAATGCAAATAGCAAAATTGTAGCTTGAGACCCTTAGAAATAATGGTCACTAAAAAATGTGCTTAAATTTGTGTAATTCTCCAACAGATACTAGAGATGACTGCCCCTGGTGTAAATTTACAAGGTATAATTATCCTTAAAAGACTTTTGAAGCATAAGCAAGGTGCTTTGAGGAAACCGCTATTTTCCATACAATGAACCTTAATTGTTGTTATACTTAAGACATTGAGATTGGCATACAGAAAAACTGAAGTCAGGGGCTTTATAGTTTGTAAATAGAAAATTGAAATTCTTTTGTTGTAAAATAGTAACCTGGTTATCCTTTCCTCATTTTCACCATTAAAGAAATAGATGGTATGTTAACTTTTGGTGAAAAAGAAGTAGAACAGCATTCTGAATAAATAAATAAGGATTCCACAGTGTAATGTTTATCTGTTACCTGTCAACATTGTTTATTACAATGGGGTAACTGGCATTATAAATGTATTAAGGGTAACTTCCTGCAGTTTACAATGTAAGTTGTATGAACATTTGGCAAGGCCCACTTGAACTGCCAAATTAATCTAGGGATTGAGTAAAATCGCTCACGAATGCAGCAGAATTCTCAACACCATTCAGTACAGGGAAGTAAGAAACTTCAGCGTTAGCGAGTAAATGGTGCCCATGTTGCCTCTAACACTAAAAGAGAATGCTACTAGACATACCACAAGCGGCCACTGTCCTCTCCTGTCGGGCGCCTTCATTGGCTGTCCGTAAAACGTGCTTCACCGTCTTTTAAACAGATGTGTAGGTTTCACTGATTTTTTTTTTTTTTTTTTTTTTTTTTGTAATTGTCTGTTCTTAGTCTTCCAGAGAAATGTAGGTTTTGGATGAATTTAAATTAAACCTAGGAGAGAAAAAGTAATAATTAAAAGTATTTTATATTGCTATTAATATATGTTAATTTTCTACCCCAAAATTTTCCACAAAATAGTTTAGTAAATTTGTTTAGAACTTTTCTTTTTCCTACCATGCAGAATGAGAAATGTTAACTGCTATGGCAAGTAGGCAGAAGAATAGAGGAGCCGAGCCAGGGGGTGAAAAAGCCCTCCTTTAACTAATTTTTACATGATCAAAAATACAAGGATTAATGTAAACTCTGCTATTCTTTAGCCATGACTTTAAATGACATTTTAATTTAAACTCCGTGCATTTGTGATTCGATCAAGAAATGAGGCTTCACTCTAATACTATGAACGTAACATAAAATCTTTTTAGATTCATTGTCATCTCATCTGCCCAAAATTAAATTAGAACTACTCTTAATTTTGTGTTGCCTGTCAAGTAATGTTTTTACTTTCTCCTTACTACAGATATTTGAAGGGTCTCTTTACCTTGGAAGCTTCAGAGAAGGTGTAGCTCTCACGTTCTTCAAAGAGTTGTTTAAAAAGACTTAACACACATGATCTATTTAACTGTGTTCTATCATTAGCAAAACCCAGTCAGGGTACAGAATGCATAGGACTCGGAGAAAAGAATCAGAAGTTGTGTTTCCAACAAGGTTTATATATTCAAAATGCAAAAAGGCATTTCTACATCTCAGTAACATAAACTTAAGTAAAAACCCACAACAACACCAACAACAAACCCTTGTAATAAATATTAAATAATGTAATATTGAACTAAACTTTAGTAGGAAAAAATATATTTTTGTGTGTTACTAATTAAAGGTTCCTGGGTCAACATAAGGATAAGCAAGGAATTCCCCTAGTTTGTTGCCTTTGGAATCATAGTGGAGCATTCGGAAGCAAACATCACAAAAGAAACATGGATCCTCTGGTGCAAAGGTGTCATTGTTTGTCACCCATCTGTAGGTAAAAAAAAAAAAGTGTGTTATTACAACTAGGTTGTTTTCATGCTTCAAACATTCTATGATACCTGTTCTATAGCGGGTTCTCAACCAGTGTCCACTAACTGCTATGTGGAGGTGGGGGTGTTGGACAACCTTTTCACAGGGACTGCCTGAGACACCATTGAAAACTCATATCTACATTACAATTCAAAACAGCAATATCACACTTAGGAAATTGGAGTCACCACAATATGAGGAACTGTATTAAAGGTTTGCAGCATTATAAGGTCGACCTGCTGTCCTATAACGATAGGGAAAGAACACGCAAACATGCCTCAGCAGACTTTGTTGGGACATAGTAGGAACATCCAACAGGAAATGTGGGATTTTTTAAGTCAGGTTTCCTCTTAAGGTAAGGAAATGATCTATTAGAAAGCACCACATATATTTGACAGAACACCTGTCCATTAATTACTCACTCATTTTCTGATAGGCCACCCTGGAAAACTAGTATATCTACATTGCTACAGACACCAACAGCCTTCTTTAATTTAGTTACGTAATCCAGACTGTCCTTAAAATCATGATCCCCTTGCCTCAGCTGTCCTCAAACCAGCAGTGTAAATGGACTTGACCTTGAATTTCTGATATTTCTGCCTTAATGTCTTGAGTGCTGGGATTATAACCAATATGTCGAGATACTTATTTTAAAACAGATATACATATTTAATAGTATAGAGTGTGATAATTCTATATGCAGTAACCACATCCAAGCTCTTCTAGTTACCCTACAATGTACCAAATAATTGGAGCTAACAGTTATCTTATATGCCATCAAAATATGTTCTTGAATTTCATAGTGAAGACGCTATTTCCATAAAAGCACTTCTATACTTTTAAGCTCAGATTAATAGTAGAGCCTAATAGGCTCTGTCCTCATTGCTGGGGAGAGAGTTTCACATCTATATTCCCAGCACTCAAGACACTAAAAGCAAAAATATTAGAAAACCAAGGTCAAGTCCATTTATACCGCTAAGTTGAGGATAGTTAAGGCTGCATGAGACCTTGTCTTTTTAAAAAACAATCCCTACAGTGTGAACATCCTGATAACACTCAAGGTTGAATGAAGAGCCCTGCACATGCAAGTGATCGACAATTGTGTTATTTGCCCACCTTTTCATTTTTCATGCTGGATGTAAGGCCTTGCTAGAATGCTCAAGCCAGCATTAAACTCAATATTCCTGTCTCCATATCAAAATGATTGATCAAAACATAAAAACTTATTTTGGCTTTATGCACTGATATTTCTGTATTGAAAAATTGAGGTGAAACTGATTTTGCAAGCAGAAAGTATGGCTCCTTACAACCCTGAAGTCTGTTATGAACTTCATGTATGTTTCTTTATTAAAATTAAAATGTTATGGGTGGATTATAGTCTAGTGTTGTATGCGTGATAATTAGCAAGCAGCAGGCCCTGGGGTGACTGTACAAAACAATGCTAATTTTAGCCAAACTGCACCGAGTGGAACAGTGACTCTAGAAACTTAAACTAAACCGAAAACTGGAAGCAGATTATCTGGAGTACTAAATTGCTGTGGAATCCAGTACTTCTTAAAGAAGGAAAACTGTTACTCACCTAGCTGTATACATCTTACAGACAAAACATTTTCTGGTCCATAGCCAATGCTTCTTGGTAAGAAGGGGATAAAGTGTTCTATCCAAGCAGTCATCATGATGCACAAGCCTTTCATTAGGAAAATAGATGAAGATATTAAAATGCAAACATTAGTATACCAGTTCAACAACATTAGGAACATGGTTGACTTTACAAAAGGAAGGGAGGAAGAGACAAGAAGACCAATTTTTTTTGTTGTTTTTAATTTGTATTGGTGTCTGCTTGGTGCTTCAGAGGCTAGAACAGGATGTTGGATTCCCAAAAGGATACAGAGAAACAGATGGTTGTGTGCCACCATGTAACTGCAGGCAGTCAAACCCAGGTCTTAAACATTTGAACCTCAAGGGCCACGAGTTTAAGCTTAGCTACACAGCAAGTTTGGGGCCAGCCTGGACTGCATGAAACAAGCCTGTCTCAAAACAATGTGTGTGTAGGTATGCAAATAAAAACTAGAGTTTTAATTTTTTAAAGGTTAGGAAAGAGCAAACATACTGTAAATAGGTTTTCTGTTTTTTTGTGTGTTTGAGGTAATTGTACAAAGTGCATGTGTGTATACGCAGGTGCCAGAAGAGGGCATAGAGTCCTCCCTGGACCTGGAGCTGGGCCGGCAGTCAGGGCTCCCCAACGACCCTCCTGTCGCCCTCGCAGCACTAGGTTACAGATGTGCAAGCCCATACCTAGTTTGAACTGGAGTCCTCATGCACTGTTAACCCACCAAACCATCTGATGCTCAGCCTCTCAATTTAAACCATTCATTTTTTTTTGAATTATTTACTCAACTTCCCCACTATAAAATTACTATGAATTTGAATAAATTGAGATACTTTGAAATTATGAAAGTTTAATTCTCTAGTAAATACTTTCATATACATATAAAGTACGTGTGTGTGTTTGTGTATGTACACATACATACCTATATGAAAAAGAGTCTCTTATTTTGTAGTTCTAAGTGACCTGGAACTCGATACATAGATAAGTCTGGCCTAGAACTCACAGATACAGTGCCAGGATTATAGGCCTGCACTACTATGTCTAGATTTTCCAAAAAACAGGCATTTGTACTGTTAAGAGGCAGAAAAGTAGTTAATGAGATGTCTCGGCATGTAAAGGTGTTTGCTGCTAAGCACAATGACTTTAGTTATCCCACACCGTGGAAGGATGGATTCCTGGAAGTTGTCCTCTGACCTCTACACTCCTGCTGTACACACTCCTACTGTGGGGTGTATCTTTCCCTCCACCAAGTAATATTTTTAAAAAGGCTTTTTGCTTTTCAAGACAGGGTTCCTCTGTGTAATAGCCTTGGCTGGCCTTGAACTCACAGAGATCCACAAGCCACTGCCTCCTGAGTACTGGGGTTAAAGGTGTACACTACACACCCAGCAAAAACAGACATTTTAAAGGTAAAATGTTCTGAGTGACATCACATACCTTATGTCTGTGATGACGACAACATGTTCACAGTCTCCTTGGTGACAGTACAGGTAAGGAAAGCCAAGTTTAATATTCAAGTCATTGAAAGTGAAATCTTCCATTCTAGCAGTGTGAAATTTTCCATATCCTCGATCATGGGACTCTGACCACTCTATAATAGTTCTGTTTTGGGGAACGGCAAGGATAAAGAATTATTAAAGCTTGAACAGGAAACAAAAGAATTTATACCTGCAATTATATACAGTCTAACCTTCCAGTTGAAGGGAAGATCGTAGCGGTAATAAATTCTTGTTTTGGAACAGTGAATTTGGACCGTAGGTAACAGGACTGGTCACCAAACCTGACGACCTGGGTTTACATTGGAAGAACACTTAACTCTCACTGGTTACTCTGCTCACATGCCATGGCGCGCGTGCACACACATACACACACACACATTCCCACAAGGTAAAAAACGGTCCAAAAAGGGGTAAGTGTACACATATGGCGGTGTGGGGGATTAACCAAACTTCTCATCTATCTGAATAATAGTTCTTTTTCATTCTTAGGTTTTTGTGTGTCTGTGTTTTAAAAACAAGAGTCTCACTACATAGCCCTGGCTGCCCTGGAACTTGGATCTGTAGAACAGGATGGCCTTGAACTCACAGAGATTCATCTGTCTCTGCTTCCAAAGTGATTGGGATTAAAGGTGGGAACCACCATGCCCTGCTCTTAAAAGTCTTGTTCACTCTGCTAAAATCTGTCTGCCCTTTTATCTCTTCTCCTTTCAGTATGAAGCAGTTTTTTTGGGAGGCTGTATGATGTGTGCCACTTTAGCATGAACAGAAAATGTATAACAATGCCACACTTTGTTTTTGATAACAGGTTTTTGGCTTTTTGTTTTACAAAAACATTAACATGTACTGAGATTAGGATATTAGTATTTCTTAGTTTCAAATTCTAGATATGGTGCTGTGGTGGTGGTGGTGCATACCTTTAATCCCAGCACTTGGGAGGGAGAGGCAGGCAGATCTCTGTTAGAGACAGGCTTATCTGGTGGTTCCAGGACAGCCAGTGTTCCACAGAGAAACCCTGTCTTGAAAAACCAGGGGGAAGGATGTAATTACAGTAAGTACTGATAGCTATGGGCCACAGAAGCTACCACTCTTTGGGACACTCAGTTTTTATTATTAAGAACTGAGAACAAGTGTGAGAACTGCAATTAAAAAGGATAGAAAATGGCTTAACCAGTATGTGAGAGGATCTGGCCACTGATACTGAAATACAGTGCTAATAAAACTCTATTAGAAATGAATTTCATATTCACATACCTAAGCAACATCACACACATGTCCAGCTACTTACCCACAAAGGGCAAAATAATAGTACATTTGAGACATGCAGAAAAAATGCTTGAGAGTAGGGTAGAAAGGTAGCTAGTGGGTAAGAGTGTATTGTTCTTCCACAGGCTGAGATATTCTAGCTCAAAGCAATCCAGGTTCCTTTTATAGCTCTGCCACCACCTGTACTCACAAGCACATAGTGATCTTCCACCCATATAAACATAATAAAAATAAGTCTTTAAAACAGAAGAAAAAATACCAAAAGATTAACATCACATTAATAAACAGTACCTTAGTGAGAGGAGCTAATCTTTTTTTAGAGGTATGCACCATTCAAAACACACTTTGTAATTGATCTCTTGGGGTGGAATCCTTAAACATTCAGTAGTAAGATTTGTGGAAATGTCACTAAAGAGCTAGAAATAAACGGCGTGGTAGCACATGCCTTTAATCCCAGAACTCAGGAGGCAGAGGCGGTGGATCTCAATCTCTTGAGTTCCAGGCCAGGTAGAGTTACACAGAAACTTGGGGGGAGGGGGGGGGAGAACTAGGACTAAACATTTATATAGTTAGGTGTGGTGGGGCATGTTTTTAATTTCAGCCCTTGGGAAGCAGAGGTCCAGGCTATCCAGGGATACATAGTGAAGCCCTTCCTCAAAACAAAAGCCAACAGAAAACACAAGACATTGAGAAGCTTCTAGGACTAATACCTGCTCAAGTCTCTGCATTCCGGGAATCTTCTGTCATTGTAAAATGTTCCTTCAAAATAAAAAAAAGCTGATTTGTATAGGTCCTACAAGAAAACAGATAGTGTTGAATGAAATCCACTTTGTAACAATTAAAAAATTCAAAATTTATACATCATAAAATCACATGAATACCAGGCAACTCATGTTGGGACCCCTCTCTGCTACCAGAAACTGTTACTCCTCAATAAAACCTTGCTTACTTGGATACACACAAGAGGAAACGGGTGATGGTGGCTCTTTTCAATTTTACCCTATTGCTATTTTCAGAGACTCAACAAAGGAATTCAAATCAAATCTAGTCAGCTTCATTGATTTACTCTGTGCAGCCTGAACTGACAGTTATGTTTACATCAGAACTAGAAACTTAACAGTAATGGCTTTAATGCTTCCTTAGTAAATGGCAAAGATCTCTACTTATGTTTTTTGGCATTTCTTTTATTCTTAGCATTCTTACAAAACGTTCCTATTTTCAGTAAATCTTATAACATGGATTTGTTTATATTTTGAGACAGGATTTCTCTGTATATAACCCTTGCTATCCTAGAACTCTGTAAATCAGGCTGGAACCTAACTCTTCTGAGTGCTGGGATTAAAGGCATACACATACCACCAGGATTTCTGTTCTTAAGGAATCTTGTCCCATGTAACATAGCAGCAGGCACAAGTATTCTCAATCCTGAAGTTCTGAATCATTATCACTAGACTTGAAGGGGATGACCACAATCCTCACTACAGATAAGTCACTGAACCCTCAAGGCTTGCTGTATAGTTAGGATCTAATGTATTTAATGTCCTGTCTGGCTGCTAGGACACAAACCAGTCCTTTAGTATGTATGTTTCTGCAGCACTCAAAACTGTAAGCTAAGATCTAAAATAAGGTTCAAGGGCCAGTGAGATTATATGTTCAGGAGGTAGATTGTATGTTTATATATGATTCTATGTTTGAAATTTTTGAAATTGAAACCTTACAAATGAGAAAAAAATACTGTAAAATAAAGTATTTTAAAACAATACAGTATTGTCAATAAAAGTCTTTCTCATAAATCATAGAGATGTTAGGCTCAAGCTGAGTGCTGGTGGCACACACCTGGGTAGGCAGATCTCTGTGACTTCAAGGCCACAAGGCCTAGTCTACATAGTGAGTCCCAGGACAGCCAAGGCTATGTAGAGAGATCTTGTCTCAAAAAACAAGTGAAAACAAAAAAACAGTAAGAACAACAAAAATATGTTAGGTTCAGTCAATATCTCATTTATAGGCATTTGCCCTTCTAAATGCTCTTAACATCATAAATATAATTTTCTAAAACATTGCTGAAAAACAAAGTAAACAAAACAGATTTCTGCATCCCACAAAGCCCTGTGCTAGAAGCCTGCTGGTGATTACTGTTGTTTTGTTTTTTTGGTTTTCAAGACAGGGTTTCTCTGTGTAACCTTGGCTATCCTGGACTCAATTTGTAAACCAGGCTGGCCTCAGACTCAAAGAGATCCACCTGCCTCTGCCTCCCCGAGTGCTGAGATTACAGACGTGCCCCACCACTTCCAGCTCTGCTGGTGAATTTTAATGAAACTGTTCAGTGTGCATCACAAAACAAAGCCATCCACAGCCAGCACTCTGTGAGCAACAGGGCAAAGAAACAATGTGGGCTTTGAAGGAGCGATAAGGACATGACTTCAGTCTCCACCACTACTTGCTAATGAGAAAGATCTTTTTCTTATAAAAATTCTTGGACAATTCTTTCCAAGGCCTGCATATACTGGGCACATGGGCATGTGCTCAATGATCAGACTATTATTTTAGCAGACAAAAACAGGAAGAACGTAGCAGCAGATGTGTAGAAATCATTAAGGCAGTAGGGAACTAGAGAAATGGCCTAGTGGTTACAAGTACTTGCTGCTGTCCAGAGGAACCCACATGGAAGCACACTAGTGGCTCTAACTCCAGTTCCAGGAGAACTGATGCCCTCTTCTGGCTTCCTCAGGCACTTCATACATGTGGTACACAGACATAATGTAGGCAAACACCCATACTAATCTTTAAAATTTAGATAAGACAATAAACTATTTAGTCCCCACTTAGAAAACTGAAGACTTTAGAATCTGAGTACAAATACCATAAATAGACTAGGCCGTTGACTAGGCATGATTGTCAGATCTGACTCCAACTGCTCTGACCAAGGCTGATAGGCTACTACAAACAGGGATGTTTTTCACATTAATCTTTTTTTGTTTGCTGTCCTTCAATCTGTTATGCAGACCACGCTGGCCTTGAACTCACAGAGATCTCCCTGCCCCTGCCTCCTGAGTGCTGGGATTAAAGGCATGCACTACCATGTCCAGGTCACACTAAATTAATTTACTTCTACTTCTAGCTAGCTATACGTTTGTTTTTTGATAGGGTCAAGAAAGCTTGCAAAATACCAACGCTTTCTTCCTTGAAGAAAAGATAAACCTATTTTCTCAAAATTCCATTTATTTCTCTTTATCATCACAGTAATCTCCTCAAGCATTGACATGGCATTGTAGTTGAGTTTAAGTATCTTCAAACTATTTTCAACATAACTGCAAACATTTAGTGTAATCTCTTCATGAGCCATAATGCTCATCTCCATGTCAGTCACTGAAAAGACTAGAACACAATGTTTTCTACAATACAAATTGACACAAACAGCACCAGGACATTATAATATATACTATAATCGAAAAGAAAAGCCTGGAACTAAGTTGGGAAACATGCCTATGAAAACTCCCAGATGTGTGATCAGATGATTCTTACCACACCAAAATACTCAAAACAGGAGCATGGAGCACACGGAGAAGATACACACAAATGCACTCAGTGAAGCCTAGTAGATAATGTTAGTTTTCACAAGCCTCAAAAATCAAAGAACTAAAAATGTACACAGCTGATGGAGAAAGACTGACTTCATCCTACTTGTTTCAGATGTCATTTTATGGGTGTGCAGAGATGCCCTGCCCTTAGTGGACAAGTGAATCCAGAGTCCTTTCCCAAGGCTGTACCACCTAACAGAAACAGGGCAATCGTTCTCTGAACTGAGGTTCAGCAGCGTCAGGTCCTTCTATTTGCATACGTAAACCCTCACTCCTGAAAATGTTTTGGGCAGCCTGCTTGCTACTTGGCTCTTCTCCAAGAAAAACTGAGACATTTCTGTCTCACTATGAGTGCCATTACCCGCAAACACCGGAAAAGATCAACTCTGCACCATCTTCTTGTCTGATATTGAGGCCAATATCAGACATATGGGTCCTACAAGCAGTAAAGAAGGGGTGTAAATGACCAAGGCTCTTAGGCAACTCCAAACTTTTCCTGGATGTAGTTAAGGTGGCTTGAAAACCTTACAGCATTTTAAACAGGAAAGAATGAAGAACAAGGTCAAAGCAACAATAAGGCTGGGGCTATAACTCAGTGGGGAGTACTTAGTTTAATTTCTAAAACCAAAAACAAACAAAAATCCGAATGAGTAAGGAAGCTACAGTGAAGTCAGACTGTAAGAACAAGAAAGCAACTAGTCAGATAGATGGTCAGTATTAGCTCAGAAAGAAGAGTGTCATAGAACAGCTGAAAATGGTGAGAAGTAAGGAGATGAACAGAGAATACTGTATCTGAAAGGTTCTGGGGATACAGTCGAAGGCGAGAGAAAGTAGCCACAAGGACAACGAGAACACTCCTTCAACATTCATGACCCTGCTGGAGCAATCACTATTTCCTGTGCTATTACTTTCTTCTTTTTTTAACAGGAAGGGCAAGGTCATCTTACTCTGCTGATGTGCTCAGGAGCTTGGTCTGGAGTATTGCTGAATTCTCCACCAATCTGGAGGTCACTGACACAGCAAATTGAATCTCGCAGTTCTGTGAGCTTCTGACTGCCCAGTACTAACATTGTCTGGTACGGTTTGTGTTCTTTGTGCTAAAGACAAACAATAAAAAAGTGTCCATTTTAAAAATCAGTTAACAGCAGGGGTGGTGGTGCATACTTTTAATTGAGCCCAGCTTAGTCTACAGAGTGAGTTCCAGGGCAGCCAAGACTACACAGAGAAACCCTGTCTCGAAAACAAACAAATCCTACTAAGACCTGATCTAAATGAAGTTACTAATTTTATTTCTTTTCTTTTCTTTTTTTTTTTTTTTTTTGTTTTAAGATAGGGTTTCTCTGTGTAGCCTTGGCTGTCCTGGAACTTGCTCTGTAAACCAAGCTGGCCTCGAACTCAAGAGATCTACCTGCCTCTGTCTCCAAAGTAATGGGATGAAAGGGGTGTGCCACCATGCCTGGCATAATTTTCTCAATTTAAGCTATCCCCTTGGATTGGAGTCAGTGCACAGCACTTGGCTAGTATGCACAGGTTCTGAATTTGATCTGAAACAATAAATGAGATCCATAAGCTCTGTTTTCTTAGACTCTGCATCTGTCTCTCACAGCCAGCAATTAAAGACCAATCTAGCAAAGTCAGCTTAGTGGTACAAGCGTGTGGCTACCGTGCACAAGGTGCTGGGAGTGAGAGTGCTGTTTACAACTCTGCAATCCAGAGCTCCACCCACTCAATCCTAAACTCTTCACACCCCTCCTTGCCAGGCTCTATGCAGTCCTCATTCCTTTGGGCCCAAACCTGTCAGCCTTCTGTGGTGTGCTTTCTTCTTGGGTAGTAAGATTCTACTTTGATGGTATAAACTTCTCTCATCATCACCCAATCACCTCCCTAAATTAAAAAGCCCAAGGGTACAACAGAAACATCTGATGACAGAATTTTTCTACTTTGTTTATAATCAAGGACTACTAAATTGACATAGGGACTAGGAGTCTTTGGGATACAATCTCATCCAGCAGCAATGTTTTCTGAATTTCCAGGAAGTTAGAGCACTGAAGGTAGCAATCTATAGCCTATCCCAACTTACAAACCCAAAAAAATTACTTTTAAAAAGGGGCAATTTGATATTTCAAGCAATGTAATTAGGAAGTACAACCAAGATGCTTAACAAAGCACACTTAAGTGCAAATTATGTATAGTATTATACATAAACCACAGAATTTATACACCTATGTGAAGAATCAAAAACAACACAAAATCTAATGTTTAACATGTGCAATGCCTGGCCTTCAATTCTGGGCACTCTAAGAGAAAGGTAAGGATACATACACATCAAGGGTTTTTTTATTAACGACTTCTAAGAAATTACTGGGTGTGGCACTTTGAATGGTAAATGTTCCCCGTAGTCCTGGCATTTGAAAGTAAGGGTATGGCTTTGTGAAAGTGTGCCACCAACTAAGAATTCTTATTTTATTTACTTACTTATCTTTGGTTTTTCAAGACAAGGTTTCTCTGTGTAGCTTTAGCTGCCTTGGTACTCACTTTGTGGACTAGGCTGGCTTTGAACTCACAGAGATCCACTTGCCTCTGCCTCCTGGGTACTGAGACTACAGGCACACGCCACTACGCGTGGCCCACAATGTATTTTTAAATTTACTTTTCCTGCTGATAATGTGTGTGCCTGTGTTTCCGTGTGTGAGCATGTGCATAAGAGTGCAGCTGTCTGAGGAGGAGGGTGTAGGAGTCCCTGGCACTGGAGTGACAGGTGGCTTTGAGCAGCCCGATGTGTGTGTTGGGAACTAAACACTGGTCCTCTGCAAGGGCTGTACTTGCTCTTAATTGCTGAGCCATCTCTCTAGGCCCTGAGCCTGGGTTTTGAGAGCTTAAAGACTTTCGAGTCTGCTATCCCTGCTTTCTGTCTGTGGTCTGACCTCAGCTCCGGTTTCTAGCTTCAGTGGCCTCTGCTTTGCTGTCAGACTCTTAACTCACTGGAACCATAAGCTCCAAACAAGCCCTTCCTTCTATGAATTGCCTCGGTCATTGTGTTTTCTCACAGTAATAGAAAAGAAACTAACACTGGGTATCCTTGTTTATTTTATTCATTTGCATCAAAGAGAACTTCCCAAGGATTCTGAACTGATTCATTCCATTTCTCTACCAGAAAACTATTCAGCAAAAATAAACCAAATAAACAAAGAGAAAAACCTCAGTAATTCAGAGAATTAGAATCACTATGGAGGTATAGACATACTTTCAGTTGCTTCTATTGCAAAATCAGCTACACATTCCAGTGTTACAAGTGTAATCATTGGTTAAGAGATGTAAATTTAACTTTTGAAATTTGTTGGAACATCTTGTCAGTCCTAAAAAATAAGATGTCAGTCTGTATATGCTAACATGTATTTTGAAACCTGAGGGAAGACTTCATATCCTTAAATGCTTTTTCAAAAGCTCCTTTTAATTGGTGCATCAGTCTCTGCAGGACCCCATAGGCTCAGATTATTTTAGCTTTGTTGGTCTCCTTGTGGGGTTCCTGTCCCCTCCGTGTCCTTCTACCCATCCCTCTCTTCTTCCATAAGACTCCCTACGCTCTGCCCAAAGTTTGGCTCTGAGTCTCAGCATTTGCTTTGATCCCCTGTTGGGTGGAGCCTTTCAGAAAACCCTCTATTGTAGGCTCCCATCCTATTTCCTCTTTTCCACCCCTTCTGGTGTCTATCCTGTCTGCCATTCTGAATGAGATTTAAGCATCCCCTCTAGGGTCCTCCTTAGTGTTTAGCTTCTTTTGGTCTGTAAATTTTAATATGGCTATTCTATATTACACGGCTAATATCCACTTATAAATGAGTGTATACCAAGCCTGTCTTTCTGTTTCTGGGACCATGCATGGAGAGTACATAGAATCCCTGCTCAGATGTACCCGACTGGCAGCTCAGTCTCCATGTGGGTCTCTGAGTAAGAGGAGCAGGTGCTGCCTCTGTTGTGAACTTGATTGCCTGCTCTTTGATCCCTTGCCCCTGGTGATGCGGTCTGGCCAGGCTATGGAGGAAGAAGATCCAGTCAGTTCTGATGAGACTTGATAAGCTATGGGCAGATGGCAGAGGAGAACTCCCCCTTTCAGTGGACTAGGGGAAGGGGAAAGGGGGGAAAAGGGAGGAAAAGTGAGTATAGAGGGAGTTAAGGGAGAGGGCTTCAATCAGGATATGTAATCAATAAATTGTAAAAAAAAAAACAAAAACAAAAAAAAAAAAAAACAAAAAAAAGCTCCTTTTAGCTTTTAGGAACTGGTAGAATCTCAGTGATAGAATGCCTGTCCAGTATGCTCAGCATCCTCGGTTCTACCCCTAATCCTCAAAGTTACTTAGCCATGAAAACCAAGTTTTACTACTCACCTTATTAAATATAACAGGATATAAGATGTTCACAGACAGGATAAGCTCCCCTTCTTCAATCATATCTGCTGCATTTTCAGGTTTTTTTCCTAGTGCATGAGATTCCTGCAGAAAGCAAAAAGAAAACAAGCCCTTAAACTCAGCTACTATAGCTCAGCTAAGAGGCAGTGTAGCACAGAGCCATCAGAGAGGGCTGTACTCAGCCTTGGTCCAAGTGAGGAATGGCTAGTCTCTATTGCTTTCTCCCCACTCTCTCTCCTCTCTTCTTCAGTTTTTTTTTTTTTTTGTCCTCTGCGCAGGGTATACATGTACACCCTGCCCAACAGTCTCACTCACTCACTCTGAAAAAATGTAAAAAAAATATATTTGGCAAATAATTATTCCTAATAGCAAATTCTAGATTCACATATAAATAAAGTCTACTGAGAAAAGCTAATAAAATAGGATGCTAAGCCAGCTGTCATAAATATGGTCAATGAACTAATAGAAACCAGTTAACTACAGGAAATCAGCTTCCTCAACTGATTGAACAGATTTCTCATTAGAAAACAAGAAAAGAAACAAGTCTGATGACATACTCCAAACCACGGAAGAAAATAGTTAGTCCAGAATTTTGTATCTAGCAAAACTATCCACTAGGAATGAAGGAAAGATGAAGACAATTACAGTACACAGAAGCTGAGGACGTGCGAGCAGCAGTAGACCTTCACACTAAAGTGAAAAGGCAATAACTTGAAGCCACACAAATCTCTGAGATCTCTCTGGCCAGCCTGGTTTACATAACTACCAGGACAGCTATGATAACCACTAAGAAGATACTTTCTATATGTGCTGAAAAGAAAGGAGGTGGGAATCAATTTGATACACAGCACAAATCAGTACCTAAAATAAGTTAGTAATGGAAGAACAGAGGAACAAAGACATCCAAAGAGCTGAATAACAAATATACAGCTACAGTGTAGCTGTAAATGGAGGACACTCCCCTAGTCAAATAGCAGGCTGGCAGACTGGATTACAAACACTTTATTCAGCTATATGCTGTCTACCAGAGACTCATTTTAGATATAAAGACAGGTTGAAAGTAAAAGGGTTAGAAGATATTCCATGCAAACTGCAAAAAAAGAAAATTGTTGTAGGCTGCTTTACTGCCAGACATACAGGCTTTAAGCTAAGATTATAAGACAAAGAAGGGTATTTATATGTTGATAAAAGATGCCATACAGCAGTGAGATACACAATTACAAACATACAGTGAACAAAATGATCCTAAATTATATTCCACAAAATCTGAGAATTTAAAAAAAACAAACAGACAATTCTGGACTTGAATATTTTACTTACAATAATGAACTCAGACAAGACTGACTAGGTAGTGGAAGGTCTGAGCACTATACACAAAGACTAACACACGAATTAGCAGAGCTCTCCAGCCAACAGAAGCCTCAAGTGCACACAAACCTTCTATATGACAGACCACCAACTAGACGTAAAGGAACTACAGTCATACAACGTATCTCTGACAATTCAATAATACCAGAAATCAGCAACAAGGAAAACAGAAAATTCTAAATGCTTGGGACTCTTAGAAACACAACAGCACAGCTGTGCATGGTGGCCCATGTCTGCTATCCCATCAATGTGGTGACAACGAGGACTGGGGCAGGAAGACTTTAAATGTACAGGGGCTGGAGAGGTGGCGCAGAGGTAAGAGTGTGTACTGCTCTCACAGAGGACCTGAGTGTGGGTGGCAGCACCTATGAATGGCAGCTCACAGCAATGTCCTTTTCTGGCCTCCATGGGCACTGCACTCACTTTCAGACAGCCACACTCAGGCATACACAGCCAAAATCAAAACAAGGCAACACAAAACAAAAAACCATTTGTAAAACAGTGAGTCATAGAAAAAATATACAAGGAAAGTTAGAAAACACTGTGAGACAGCGAAAACAGAACATACTAAATACACTTTAAAAGGCAATTTATACATGTAAAAAAAAAAAGGAGAACATACTAATTCCAAAGTTGGCGGGAAAAGAAAAATAATATAAGGTAGAGAAAACAAAATAGAAAAAATTAACAAAAGAAAAACTACTGAGTGTGAGTGTTTGTGCACGTGTGATTGTGCATGTGTGTGTGGGTGGAGGTTATGATCTTCCCAATGTGGTGCTGGGAACAAAACTAAGACCCTCAGGAAGGGTAAAGAAGGGCTTTTAACCATTGAACCACTACTCCAGCCCAAACCTTAAAACACCAAAGTTCTAAATCAGAAATGACTAACTCAGAATCACTAAAATCAGGGACAGCTCAGTGGGTGAAGTGCTGTCCCCCAGGGCTGACAACCTCACAGCTGCAAGCAAACACCAGCAAAGCAGAAAGGGGATTTTGGAAGGTGCTAAAAAGAAAGCCAATTCTGGGATAAAGTCTTTGGCTTTAGTAATCTTTGAGCAACTTTATATTTTAATTACTTCATCATATGTGACGAAATCAAGATGGTAATTTTAGTGAGACATCCCATCCATTAGCACTGGGGGCCTAACCCATGGCCTTGGTCACAGCAGGCAGGCACTCAGCCTAGGCCAAATTTGTCTCTGTTCCTTTCCTGACTGTTCACAACAGGGATCATGTGGCCCTCAGTGCCGAGAGGCCACTTAGTGTTTCTTGTTTCCTAGAAAGAGAAACAGGGAGGGGTGGGGAGGAAGGGAGGTAGAGGGGGATGGGATGCTTACATTACTGACTTAGCCATGTAAAACTCATCACCCTTTTCTCAAGGTGCTGTCTCTAAAGTGTCTTATCATCTTTGTATCAGCCAGTACTATAAATGTCTTGAATAGCTTCCACGTAACACTTAAAACTTTTGTTATTTTGAATGCCAGCAGCATGGTGCAAGCCTATCCCAGCACTGAGGAGACAGCACTAAGACGCAGGTCTCTCAGTTCAAGACCACTGTGACCTGCTCTACACACAAAGTTCCAGGCTAGCCAGAGCTGCACAGTGAGACCCTGAGGTCTAAAAGAGAAAAGGCACAGTACATGCACACACACAATGTCTATATCATCTTGAAAGCATGCTTTTGGGGGACAGGGATGCCTTGTACCCCACCTGGCTGCTATGTACAAAAGAATGAAGGCTAACCCTTATTTACATCACATATTAAAATTAACTCAAACAGGGGCTGGAAAGATGGTTTCACAGTTAAGCGCATTTGCTGCTTTTGGAGAGGACCAGGGTTTGGTTCCCAATATCCACAGAGGGTTCATATCACTCCAGTTCCAGGAGATCTAGCACCCTCTTCTGGCCTCCATGAGCACCAAAAACACAGGCACTGTACAACCTTCATGCAGGCAAACACCCAAACATAAAATTTTTTAAAACTTAAATAATAAACTCCAAATAAATCAAATGAATCAAAGACCTAACCTACAAACTAAAACTTTAACACTCTACAGAGAAAACAAAGAGGATACTCTTTACAGTACTGGCTTAGGTAGTATTTCTTAAATATCACAAAAGCCAGTAAACCACAACAACTAAAAAATGGATATTGTTGACCTCAGCAAACTTTAAAACCTACTAACATCAAAAGAGTAAAAAAAACAATTGGCAGAATGAGAGAAAATATTTTCAAATCATAAATACGGTGAAGCGCTTAGCACTCAGGACACCCAATAACGAGACAATGTACTCTAACTGGTAAAGAATTAGAATAGATATTTTTCAGAGAAAATATACAAATGGCCAATTATTAAATAAAAAATACAAAATAAGATAAATGTCTACTAGGGTTACTCTAAATGAACAGAATATGTGAACTGAAAAAGATGTGGAGAAACTGAAGCTTCATAAATGAATAATGGGGATAGAAAACACAACTTTTTATGGAAGACAAAAGAGTTAATATGGATTCATCAGATGTCCATAAAATCTTGGGCAGTCATCACAGTTCCTGCAATTCTACCCCAGGGATATCACAAAAGAACTGAAAACAGAACCCAAAACTGACTTGCACTCACAGTAACAATAATTCATACCCAAAAGGTACAAACAACTTAAAAGTTAGCAGCATACTAGCAAAATGTGGTGTGTCCTTGTAACAAAAGAATTCCTTTGGTCATAGGAAGGAATGAAGTTCTAACACACGCTAAAACATAGATGAACCTTTAAACTTTGTTAAACAAGCCATACAAAAAGAAAACATTGCATACTTTTCTATCTCACATGAAAAATATAGAATAGCAATTTCATATAGACATAACACAGAACAGAGGTTACCAGGGATAATAAAAGTTCCGGAAACAATGATCAGTAAACATCACTGTGAATGTACTTAATGGTCACTGGAGTTTTGTTTGTTTTGAGACAGGGTCTTACTGGGTGGCTCTGGCCAGGCTAGAACTTGCTACAGAAAAATCAAGCCTGGCCTCAAAATTAGAGATCTGCCCACCTTTGGCTCCTTTTTGTTGTTGTTGTTGTTGTTTGAGACAGGGCATGTCTGTGTACCCTGGACTCGCTTTGTAGACCAGGCAGGCCTTGAACTCGCAGAGCTCCGCCTGCCTCCGCCTCCCTGAGTGCTGGGATTTAAAGGTGAGCACTACCACACCTGGCTTTAAAGTTTCTTCAATTTTTTTTATTTTTATTTTATTAAGTTTAATTTTTATGTGTATGGGTGTTTTGCTTTGTATCATGTAAATGCAGTGTCTGCAGAGGCCAGAAGGGGGCAACTGTCCCCTAGAACTGGCATGATTAACCACTTGTAGACAACATGTGGACGCTTGAAATCAAACCTGGATGCTCTGAAGAGCAGTTGGTGCTTTTAACTGCTGAGCCACCACTCTAGCCCTAAATTTTTATTTCATCTTATTTATGTGTATGTGCAAACACTTGGTGGCAGGCACTTTTCCCCATAATGCCATCTTGCTAGTCCCAATGTCATTTTACTGAACCCTTCAAATAGGCAAAAAATGCTTTTTATTTTATTAATATTTCACCTATTTTTAATTTTCATTGGTTTATATTCAATGTATATGATCCTGGGTTTCATTAGGGTAATTTCAGCAAAGTTAATGTATAATGTACTTTGAGTATATTCTCCCCCTATATCCTACGCTCCCAGGGCCTTGCTATGTAGACAAGGCTGGAGTGGAACCTACAGGGACCCTTCCTGTCCATCTTCAGACTGCTGAGATTACAGGCATGCACAACTGTGCGCAGCCATACTGTGTCTCTTCAGTCCTGTGGGAAATCTCTCCAAATAGCTCTGTCCCCAACAAGTCAGTGACACACTCAGTTTACCGTTTCAGAGCAGAGGTGAGACTTACCATTTCATAAGCAAATGTTTCTTGTCTACAGGCACGGTCTATCGTGATGGTTTCTTCCCGATAATCCAAGAGTCCCTTCCTGACACTGACATAGACACACGAAAATAAAACAGTCAGCATGCCTTCTAGAATATTTACTTAAAATATCCTTTAAAATTTTATTTTTATTTTATGTGTAAGTGCCTCCATGTATGTCTGTGCACACATACAGAAGGTCAAAGAGGACATTGGATCCTTCAGAACTTGAGTTACAGACTTGTGAGCTCCTATGTAGGTACCAGGAACTGAACCCAGGTCTTCTGTAAGAGCAGCAAGTGCTTCTAACCATTGAACCATCTCTGGGCTTTAACATATTAATAGTTAACATTTGTTGTTTTGGCAGGGCAAGGAATCAAACACAAAATTTCACATATGCTTGACAAGCAATCTACTGAGCTATACTAACCATCCCCAGTCTTTTAACCTATTCTATACTTTTAGACCTAAGTTACAAAAATAGCGCTAAGACTATAACCCTCATCTCTCTCCCTAAGCTTCCCTCCTAATGTCTTCTGTGGTCAGAAAATCACGAACAGGAGGTAGGTGACATCAGCACAGTGACTCACGCACAACCTTAACTTAGGCTCCTTTCTCCCTGTTCCAGACCCTGTCTGGGGCCCTAAACAGCACTGGCTTCCCTTTAAGCCTTGTTAAGCCTCTCTCAGTCTCTCCTCAGCCTTCACGACCCTCACACTGTACAAGAGTGCAAACGAGTCAGTTTACAGATGCCCTTCAGTTAGGCGACTTCAGCTACCTTGTGACTGAAGTCAACAGCGTCGTGTTAAAGGACCGATGACATCCTTCTTGGTGCAGCCCATCTCAAGTATATGGCATTAATGTCATGTTACTAATGATGTCTGCGTCAGTTCAATTAAGTTCTATCTGCCAAGTGCCTCCACTAGAACACATGGGCTCTCTTGCTGGTTTGCATGTCCTACTTTGGGTTTATGGACTCAAATGCAGGCATACATTTTCTTTGTTGACAATGAAGAGTGTCTGTGTGTGCGTGTGCATGCAAGCTTGTTTGTGTGTGTAAGCCAAAGGACAATTTCTGGCCTTCTTCCTCAGAACGATCCACCTTTTTGTTTTTTACGTTTTCTGAGACAGGGTTTCTCTATGTAACAGCCCTAGCTATCCTGGAACTCACTCTGTAGACCAGGTTGGCCTCAAACTCACAGAGATGCCCCTGCCCCTGCCTCCTCAGTGCTGGGATTAAAGGCATGCACCACCTCTACCCTGCTTAGTTTTATTCAATTTTTATGGGGTCTCATTAGACCTATCACTGATGGTCTGTCTTAGCCTCAAGTGCACGGTTACAGATGTGAGTCACCACATTCAACTTGCAACATATTTGTAGTATCTTAAATACATGCTTGTAGGAGAGTATTCAACACTGGGATAAATAATGCCATTGTGGTGAAGGGCAAATCAATGCTTTCCAAGACATATTAATGAAGAAAGCAGAGCCACACAGCATATGGTAATCTTGTAAGAAAGGCAACTGGGTCAATCCATCAGCTCTTATCTGCAAATATACATGCTTTTACCTGTTCTGTAAAATGACCCTTCACGTTTTAAACACTTTTCTTTTGCCAGCTGGCACTCATTAACTGTAATAAAGAACAGTGGAGAGACCTGGGATTCTATGTAGCACATGAGGAAAGGTTTGCCTTCCTGGTCCGATATGCTAGCTCAGCAGTCTTAAAGTGACACAGCTTCCCCTGTGCCAAGACCCAGTTCCCACAGTGCACTGCAATCCACTGCACCTAGCGCCCAATGGCTTTCCTTGCCACCCCTTCCCTGAATAGCTTTTCCTGGCATTCGGATTTTCGGGCACCATAGCAACCTCACTGCTACTGAAACAAAGGCAGGCAAGCCCCTTAATGGCTCTGGGTTTACTCTTGGGGAAGAAAGGTCCTCCTCCAGCATTCTTTCAGCCCTCGGGTGGGATGGTCCTTACATCTACTCTAGCATACATTCATATTCCCTTTATTGTTTCTCTGTCAGTGCTTTGCTGTTCTGAGCCTTCCTTGATTTGTTTGTGTTTTTTAAGCTGTTTTCTGTACAGCCCAGGCTATGCAGGAACTCATTGTGCAGTCCAGCTGGTCTAACTTCCTGCCTCACACGCCTGAGTGCTGAGATTAGAGGTGTGACCTACTCTGCTCAACTATAAAGTTAACAGTCCTTTAGATTAAGTTTCTCTATTAAACTGACTCTGCTGCTTCTCCTCCTAATCGAACTCCAACTGCTATAGGAAACAAAAACATACAAGTATCCACTGATTTGGAAAAGCAAACAGGGTAAGCCAGCTACAGAGAGAGAATGCTTATCTGCAGGGTGTCAGTGGGTACAAGTAGGGAATGGGAACAGAGCAGTAGGGACCAAAAAGGTGTGGCATTCCTGACTCTACGGCGCTGTGGATAACTTCTTGAACACAACCAGCCTTTCTGTTTTGTTTTGACGTAGGGACGGGGGTCGAAGCCAGTGCCATATGAATGCTCAGCAAGCATTTTTGCCACCAAGCACATCTTTATTCTGGGGTCTTTTGAGACACGGTTTAATTCCACAGTCCAGACTTGTCTGGCTCTGGCAGTGACCCTTCTACCCCAGCCTTGCAGCCAGCACTAGATGGGGCTGTACCTGTGGTCCACATACCCACGTTATCTTTTTTTTTTTTTTTAATCTAAATTATTGGTTTACATGTCTTCTCATTTTCCCATGGGAAAATACTTGATTTTCTGTAAACTCACAGGCTACTTTTTTAGCATTATTTATAGTGCTTCTGCTACATAAACATTGTATTGGTTTCTTTTTACTTTTTGTGAGTTTGAGTTCTGGTTTTATTGCACTCGATCTGTCTCCCAAGTTGATCTCAGTAACAGTAGTTTCCTGCAGTAAGTTCTCTTTGGAATCTCATTTCCTTCTCTTTTTGTGGTATTTGGGATTGGTTTACAAGATTCCTATTTTAATGGTGCTTTTTCCTGTCATTCTAGCAAAGTCTACGGTTTTACTTTTTCACAAAATCCAAGGTTTGATTTATTTTAGTTTTCACATTTATCTGTTCAGGGTATGCACTTCAGAATGTGCTCATGCTATGGTGGATGTATGGGTCAGAGAATTCATGAGGAGTTGGTTCTCTAACTTTCACAATATGGATTCCAGGAATTGAACTAAGGTTGTTAGGTTTGACAACCTAACCTTTACCCACTAATGCATCTTGGTCACTCAAAATCCACACTTAAGAGCATCATTCCTGGTTAGGGTGAGAGTTATGGATCTTCCAGTTTTGTGGCTCATTTTTTTCTTGCAGAATCTTTACAGTTTCTTTACTTTATCCTTTGAGTGGTACATGTTGGAGCAGTAAACAGTGCTCTCTCTCTCTTTGGTTTTTTGAGACAGCACTTCTCTGTGTAGGCTTGGCTACCCTGGATTGGCTTTATAGACCAGGATGGCCTTTAACTCTCAGAGATATGCCTGGCTCTGCCTCCCTGAGTGCTGGGATTACAGGTATGAGTCACCATGCCAGGTTTAAACTGGTTTGTGTTTTAGCCACACCAGTGAGGGAAATGGGTAGAATACTCAAGTTGAAATTGCTATAAGGTAAATGTAATAAAGGAGCTGAAGGTTTTGGGAAACAGATTTTACCATTAACATGTATAGTATTAACAATTCCCTCTCTGACTGCAGGAATTAAAACCTGTTTTAAGTAGCTGGAGCTCAATGGTTATGAGCACTGGATGCTCTTCCAGGGGACGTAGGTTCAATTCCCAGCATCCATGTGGCAGGCCACAACTATCTGTACCTCCAGTTCCAGGGAATCTGGTACCCTCACATGGACAAAACACCACATAAAATAAATCTAGCCAGGCGGTGGTGGTGCATGTCTTCAATCCCAGCACTCAGGAGGCAGAGGCAGGTTGATCTCTGAGTTCAAGGCCAGCCTGAACAGAGCTAGTTCCAGAACAGCCAGAGATATACAATGTCTCAAAAAATTGAAAGAAAAAACAAAGAAGAAAAAAAAAGCAAAACAAAAACAAACAAACAAACAAACAAACAACAAACCCTTAAATACTAAAGATAAGTTCTTTAGCTTGTTATGATAAGGAGGCTGGCACCTAGCAAGAATCACTTTCTGCTATATTCTCTCCTTCTTCAAGGCCTAAGTATGACAAGAAGTTTCTTCATTAGAAAAGGAAAACAGTGTGGCAAAACTTGTAATTAAGGGATCTTAGATTTCTTTTCTTAAATAGACAGCCTGGAACTCACATATGTAAACCATGTTGGCCTTACTGTTCTGGTAATCCTCATTCCTATGTCTCTCAAATACTGGGATTACAAACGTGAGATAACACCCTGGCTAGACTGCTTTTATTTTTACGTTAAATTATTGACAGAGGAAAGGGGTTTTAGGGAAAGACAAGCACTAGACTAGATTTAAGCTTCTGCAAAAAGTCCAACATTTTACAAGATCATTAGGATTAATTTATGAAGTTTGAAATACAGCAGTTTCACGACTGCAGCTGAGGAACAGTGACTCCTTTGTCAGCACACACACACATACACACAAATACATACACATGCAAACATGAACATGAACACACACACACACAAAAGTTGATGGGAACAATAGAACAAATCAGGAATGACTGAATATAGGTGAGGTTGTGGGCCACAAACCAGAAGTATAAATTTCTAATATTAATGGTGCTCTATTTAGCCTGTTAAGCAGGCTAAAACAGATCTGTAATCAGTGTTACGCAATCTGCAAAATGGAAGTAGGAACTTTTACTACAAGTTGACAGCATTTTTTATCTGAATTTTGCAATAATAAGAACTTGGCTTCTACTATGTTAGCATTTTATTATTAAATTTTCTTCACCTTTAGTAATTTACTGTTATTATATTTAAGAAGGGATTATTACTATTATCATCATCATTATTATATCTGAGACAGCGTCTCATGCTCAGTTCCAGCCGGCCTGGACATTAGTCGGGCCTTGAATTCATGGTGACTTGCTTGCCTCAGCCTTCCTGAGGGCTGAGACTACAAGCATAAACCACCACCCCAGGATTAGTGATTCATTTTTACAATATTTTACAAGTAGAGTGACTCCATCAAAGATTAAAAATTAAGAAACAAAACAATTGGTTGTTTCTTTTTGGGGGGCCTAGAACTCAGTATGTAGATCAGGCTGGCCTCAAGTTTACAGAGGTATGCCTGTGCCTGGCTCCCTGGGATTAAAGGTGTATGTCATCATTCCTAGCCACAACTGGTTCTTTACCCCAGGTATTTTGAGAAACACTATCTGAGTATTTAGCCTGCATCCCAAATCTAAGCAGATCAAGTCTACATTCAAAAGTAAATGCAAATTTGAGTATGTATTGGATATTAGGAATTTTGTGTTAATTTTTGATAACTTAGAAATAAGAATATCAACCTTTTGCAGATTGGTACTTTTGGAGCTACATACTGATGATACTGACGGGTAAATTATCATGGTATCTGAGATTTACTGAATGAAACAGCCAGAGGGAAAACACACAACTGAATTATCATGGTATCTGAGATTTACTGAATGAAACAGCCGCGGAGGGAAAACACACAACTGTACCCTATCTTCACAGAGCTAAAGCAAGGAAGTCGAAACGCTTTAAAAAAAAAAAAAAAAAAAAAAAAAGGAAAAAATATCAGTCAATCCAATCAATCATCACTGGACTATGTAGCAGAGGCTAACCTCTAGCTTGCATCAATCTTCCTGACTCAGTTTCCCGAGTGCTGGAATTATGGGCATGAGCCAGAACACCAAACTCAATGGTGAACTTCCGTGGTGGGACTGTGAAGAAACACACTATACTTTCCAAAGTAAAATAATAAAAAAATGTTCAGATAAATACCAGAAGGGCTAACAGGGTACTTTATTGGTAGATTGTGCTTCATCTCCAGCAGCAGAGCAAACAAATAGCATATAACAAAACAAAATCATACCATAAAGTCACTAGGTCAGTGTTCTCTGGGATGACTTCTGGGTCTTCACCTTCTTCAAGGCATCGCAATTTATCAAGGCTTAGAAAGAGGAGGGGTCAGGAGGGGGAGAAAGGAAAAACAACATTTTATGATCAGCCATGTGTTTTTCAACAGCGGGTCAGACCTTGTCCTAAATACATTACTGACTAATTAAGAAGTCTTATGAAATCCAGCAGGCGGCTCAAAGAAAGCCAGAATTCAAGACAATGGTTTTTGTGCCAATAGGTTATACTGAAAAGGATGTACGTTCATTTGAGGCCAGCCAGTACTGTCAAAAGGAGACGGTCCATTACAAGTTAAGTTTTATATTTTAAAATGCAGGTAAGGTACTTTTGGGAAAATTTAAGTAATAACATATTCACGGGGACTATTAGAGGCCACGGTTAATGGAGGTTTCAACATTGCTCTGATTAAGTCTCCATCCTCACGTACTTCCATTGTCCAAGTGCCAATGACAGATACACACCGCTGTTACTCCCAGCCTTAAAGATCAGAGAATAGAAAAGTCTTTTATGCAGTTGTAGTGTCCCGTTACTGGGTCCACCCTCAGAAAGTGCTTTTGGACCCTAAGACATCTCCCAGCTTTCGGGAACGGGTTGTGGAGGCGGGTGGGTGTGAAGGTTAAATCACTGGCCCTCGCCCGGAAGGGTCCCCCGGGAACGCAGGGAGCAGGTTGCACCCTGCCGGACCCACGCTGAGCCCCGAGGCCGCGCACTCACCCGCACACGACCCTCAGCTCTGCCGCCGCCTCCAGACTGCAGCCCAGATCCCTGGCTACCGCAGCATCCTCCAAGCCGTTGCTGGACGCCCCTCCGTCCGACCGCGGCGCCTCTGCCTGCGGTTCGCTCAGCGACAAATCTCGGGCACCCAGCCGGTCGCGCCATAGCTCTCCAAAGGCGCCCACGTGGAACACGCGCGTGTGCAGCTCGGGGAGCTCGTACTCTGGAAAGCTGCTGTGGCTCGCACTAGGGACTGGGTGCTGCGGGACACCCGCACCGCCGCCCTGACGGGCCTCCGCCATGTCAGCCACGATCCCTTCCGGCAAAAGCTGGCGAGCGAGTGTCGCGGGGCGTGACGGGATTTGTAGTTGTGAGCGGCTCCGGGGCGGCGGGAGGTGGCGCGAGACGCGCTACGGGAACTACACTTCCCGGCAAGCTGGCCACCGCCTGGGCGCGGCTGAGGGCTGGGGGCAGGGCTGGGTGCATTGTTCTCTCGACTTGTTCGAGGGCGGCGTCGCTTGACGTGTGTGTAACTAATGTGGTCCGGGACCCACAATTACTTAAAGACTCAATCACTGGGGCACGTCTCAGTTTCCTCTGCTCTGGTTCATGGAGGTGGGGCTTTTGTCTACTGGTGTTGCGAACCTGCGCTACTGCTCCTCTGGTCCTAAAGCTAGAGGTCCCAGAGGCACTGGGACCCGTCCGTTCCGAAAGGCCCCGTGTGCATGTGTAGGTTATGTCTTGCTGTATACATGCACAGTAGAACTTATGGGACGTCGGCTGTGCATCACACATCGTTCAATCTTAGCCACCATGTACATTTTTAAAACTCACCACTTTTCCAGGGCGACAGAGCCCCATGTGACTGTTAAAGGAGTAAATCGGGAAACTAGGCAACGGAAGGAGCTTGAAATCCAGTGGTCCTAGATGATTCTGATGCTTTGCCATTGAGGAGCTAGTCCAAAGATCCTAACAGAGTGTGCGGAACAATCCCTGGCTCGTATGAGTGTCCCGTGACACATACTGCGTAATTCACCCATTTGAGCCATTCCTTCGGTCGCTTTTAGTACAGTTAAGCAAATGTTTGAGAACATTTTCACCACTCCTGGAAAGGAAGTCTGTTGCTTATAGTTATGGCTCCCAATCTTTCCAGTTTCAGCCAACAACTTACAGGCTTTCGTCTGTAAAGGTTCGCTATCTGGGCTTTTTGAAGTAGAATCTCACCACGTAGACCAAGCTATGAACTTACAGGGATCAGGCTGCTTCTGTATTTTGAGTCCTGGGATTAAAGGTGTATCCCACCACACCCAGTTTATTCTCTGCATTTAAGATACATATGATCATATATGAACTTTATAATGAGTTTCTGTAATATTGCACAATATTTTCACTTTGCAGCAAGTTTTGGTACTTTATTCCCTTTTCGATTAAATTAAATTGTGTGCCTGGATAGTATATATTTTATTTATTGAAAGTGTCATTGGATGGGCTGGGATGCAGCTCAACTGTTACAATACTTGGCTCACAAGCATGAAGCCCTGGGGTCAATCCCCAGCACCACATAAACGCACTGTGATGGCACATGCCTATAATCCTAGCACTTGCAAGGCGGTTGCAGAGGTTTTTTATATATATGAAAAAAACATATATCTTGAACACACATACACATATTCTCCCCATAGGAAGTTTGAAGCAAGCCTGGGATACATAAATCCTGTCTCCAAAACAACAAGCAGGGCTGGAGAGATGGCTCTGAGGCTAAAGAGCTCTGGCTACTCCTCCAGAGGACCCTGGTTCAGTTCCCAGCACCCATGTGACAGCTCTCAACAGTCTGTAACTCCATTACAGAGTTTCTGATGCCCTCTTTGGGCACCAGGCATTAAGTAATGCACAGACAATACAGGCAAAACACTCAAGACACCTTAAGAAAAAAGAAAAAGGAATGCCAAAACAAATTAATGGAAACAGTATCAACTAAAACAAACCAACAAGGCGGTGGGGGATGTCTCAGTGGTTAAGACTATGTGCTGCTCTTCCAGAGGACCCTGGTTCAGTTCCCAGCACCCACATACAGCTCATGACCCTCTGTAATTCCAGTTCCAGGGGATTCTGATACTAATGCCCTCTTTTGGCCTCTGACAGTAGCAGGCACACATCTAGTGCACATGCAGGCAAAACAGTTATATACATAAATCTCAATACAACAAAAGACAAGGAAGACATGTCACCGGAAGATTTTTTTAGCATCTTTTTGAAAAAAATATTTCTTTTTTAGTTATGACAATAATCATATTCATATACAAGATTTTTCACAAAGTCACCTTCCTCTCTCCTGAACCTATAGCTTGGAGTGTATTTATGATCCCTGTGATTAACTATGAGAAGGGCCCTATTTCCTCTAGTCTTAACCTGAAGTTTCAGTGTGATCAGGGAAACTGGAGACCCTTCTTTGGGTTCTTAAGTCTTATTAATAAAATAATAAAAAATGAGATCGGGGCATAGTGGTATACACCCTTAATCTCAGCACTTGGGAGGCACAGGCAGGCAGAGCTCTGAGAGACCAGCCTGGTCTACAGAGGAAGTTCCAGGACAGCTAGGACTACACAGAGAAACCCTGTCTCAAAAAAAAAAAAAAAAAAAAGATAAAAAACAAACAAACAAAACCCAAGAAAACAGAAAACAAAAGTATTCAGGGTATGGGAAGGTCAGGCTTGGTGGCACATGCCTTTAATCCCAGCACTTGGGAGGCAGCGGCAGGTCGATCTCTTAAGTTCCAGGCTAGCCAGGTCTACATATTGGAACCTTGTTTGAATAAATAAATGAATAAATATTTAAAAGGACCCAGAGAAAGCTTAAGGACATTTTAAAATTAAAGTTTGATAAAGAAAACAACAACAATTAAAACAACAGTATAGGCAAGCTGTAAGTCTCAGCAGCTTCCAGAACAGGAAAAAGAGAAAAAGAAAGCCAGCCCTTTTGAGTTAGATGTGGAGGTTACAGAAGGTGGTGTGTGGGCTGCTTTTGGAGAAAAATAAAAATGCCTAGAGCATCAGAGGAAATATACCTAGGCTTTGGCAAGTATCTGGGGAAAAAAAAAAAAAAAGGAGCTGCATAAAGTGAGGACATGACTGGACCTCAAAGGTAGGATTGAGAAGGTTTTTATTATAGATATGAGGGATAGAAGAACAGAGGCACCTTGAAGAGTCTAGAGCAGGGAGAGAAACTAGCAGACTAACCATGATCAGCAGACTGACTGAGCCCATGAGAAGCTGGGTTGGGGACTGAAAGCTGCTTTTATGTCAAGTTGGCACAAGCTACAGTCATCCGAAGAGAACTGAGAAAATGCCTCCATAAGTTCAGGCTGTAGGTGAGTCTGTAGAGCATTTTCTCAATTAGTGATTGATGGGGGAGGACCCGCTCACTGTGGATGGGGTCTCCCCTGGGCTTGGCCTTGGATTCTATAATAAAGTAGGCTGAGCAAGCCACAGGAAGCAAGTCAGTAAGCAGCACCCTTCCATGGCTTCTGCACCAGCTCCTGCCTCCAGGTTCCTGCTCTGCTTGAGTTCCTGTCCTGATTTCTTTTGATGATAAACCCTGTTGATGTGGACGCAGAATTAAACCCTTTCCTCCCTAAGTTGGTATAAAAGGGATTTTTATTCTCCTGAGGTTGTCTTGGAGGCTTACTGCCTCCATCTGCTAACTCGGCTTAGTCCTAGAAGCTTCTAGCCTCTGTATAATCTAACCTAGGACTAAATGTTTTCAGCCTGACACTAACTGCTTCATATGCTCACCCTTTCTTGTTCTTACTGTTACCACACACTCAACAGATCTGGATATGAAGGAGATTTATTTGGGGGAGTTAAAGGGGAGAGGAGAAAGAGGAGCATGGTGCCCCCACCCCTGGAAAGAGAAAAGTCAGAGAAGGAAGGGAAGAGAAACCAAAGCAGAGGGACAGAGAGAAAGAGAGTGGATGGGAATGGCAGAATCTGGAGCACCTGGCCCAGGCGATGACATAGGGACACAGGTGGTGACATAGGACATTGTCAGGACCCTAAAGGCCCCTGAGGGCAGGCCAGTTGAATTGCCTGCACAACATAACACTTCCTGAGCTCTGGGCTGGCTGGTTCAACTCAGCTGTTCTGGCTCAAACTCCTATCCCAACTAATTTATTCAATCTGGCTTTTTTCTTGGTCCCTGAAGTGCTCTGGTTGGCCTCAAACTAACTCCAGCAATCTTTTCTGGCTCCTTCTCATTCTCTGGCTCATTCAGTCTGTCACCTGTGTCTAGCTTGTTCTTTCATTCAACCTCTATAAATCTCTCCGGATAAAACTGCCTCCTCCCTCCCTCCCTCCCTGTTTGTGCTGCTCCCTTAAGTAGCTTACCTTTTCTCTCTGTTCTTGTGAGAGTTGGGTATATCCTATTTTGTCAAATCTTTCTCTGATCTGTCACTTTTTCCGCCACTCAGTTAAACATCACTTTCAAACATGGGTGCTTCCTTCACAAACTTACTTTACCTTCATTGTTTGGGATTAAAGGCAAGTTCCACCAAACCTAATCTAAGCTTTTCTTTACCTGATACTTGCTCTATACCAGATTGGCCTTGAATTCAGATCTGCTTGTCTCTGTCTCCTGGATTAAAGGTGTATTTGTATTCCAGCCAGATCACACAGACCCAAAAGGTCTTTGGATGTGATCTCTCACCAGAGCAGCCATGTTTTGAATTAAAATTCCTCTACAACTTGATTTGGTCATAGTATTTTATCAAAGCAATAATAACCCTAAGACAGATGAAGAGAGCAAGAAAGGAAAAGAGAGAGTACGGGCAAAGGAGACCAAGAGGGTCTAGAGTGAGAGAGAGGTCCAAGAAATGGCAAAAATGGCAGGGTTGTATAGGAAGGAGAAGCTAGGGGAAGGGAAACCCGTGAAAACTTTAAGGTAGGGGTCGTGGTAAGAAAAGCAGGTCTGCCAGCACAGATTCAGTAACTGGTACTTGTGACGCTCAGAGCCTGGAGGTCAACCTGTGCTTTGGTATGCTAATAGGCACCATAGCTACCCAATTTTCCTGAGTTTCCTTCCGACCTACAGAAGAAAGTCCCCGAATTCAGTTTTAACTAATTCAGTTTGAACTATACTGGCTAGAAGCAAACACCACCATCTATTGTTCTTTGTGTCCTGTTTTTTGTTTGTTTGTTTTTGTTTTGAGTGGGGGGGGTGTTCTAATGCTTTATTTTGATGCTAATTACTGGCCCTTAAGATCTGAGTATACTTAACTTTTGTAAACCTGCCTAAGACATTTTACCTGATTGGTTGATTAAA